TTTTTAAAAAAAAAAAAAACCCTCATATTTCCCCTTGTGAAATACAGGAGCAGGACAAGGAAAGACCCTTTCTGGCTCTTTCTGCTAGGTTTTCAGATGGAAGACCAGGCAGGCAGGTGACTGCCAGGGCAAACAAAGGACTGTGTGGGCCGCGCCTAGCGCTCTCGCCTGGCCCTCCAAGTGCAGGCAGGGTGGGCCCGCGCCCTGCCCTGTCCGCCGGTCTTCTCCCCTAGCCTTCGCCTTCTCCCGGTCCCCTGCAGTAGCCAGAAAACCTGGGACACGGTCTGCCCCCAGGTGGCGCTGCGCTCCTGCGTCAGGATCTAATGAGGAAGGATGACGTCATCCCGGGTCCGCGCCGTGTCTGCCAGGAGCAAGGAGGACAGGGATGGTGGCACTATTCCTAGATGCTCTGGGACGGTAGGGAGTGGCTTCTTTCCTCTGGTAAACTGCGTTTTAAGTTTGGTAGAAAGGACTTCCTAAGGTGACGTTCTGTTGGAGCCTTAAGATGTGGGGATTGGTCGTCTTGGTTGGGTGCTCCCCCCAGGCACCACGGCCTGTCTCGTTTCAGTGTGGGTGTGTGGGGGGGGGGGGGGGAGGGGGGTGGCAGGGAAGGAGGTGACCTCTCATCCGAAGCAGCTCTAGGGGCTGAAGACCAGAGCTCGGCCTTTTATTCGCTGTGTGATCATGGGCATGTAGGTTAACCTCTCTGGACTGAATTTGGTCTGCACAGTGGAAAGAACATGGTGTCGGCCCACAGAGTTAGATGAAGGGTCAGCTGAAGAGACCTAGCGGTCCACAGGCACAGCGCAGATGGACGGTTCACCCGGTCCAGCCGCAGCAACGCCCATGGAGGTCCGGAGCCAGAGCTGTCCTTCCGGGCCCAGCCCTCCGGAGGGTCACCGGGGTTGACAGGCAGGTGGAGGAGGAAGTAGGGCAGAGTGCACCTGGGACCTGAACTCTCTGCCCTCTCTTTTCTGCCACATCTAGCACAGAGATGCTGCCTCCTGTCTGGGGAGACCTCTCCACCAGCCAGGATGGGGATGCTGCTGAGGCAAAACCTGGGGGCAAAAACCTACAAGAGACACAGACCCACGGTGGCTGTCCACAGTGCGCATAGGTCAGAAGGATGCCCCCGGGGGCGAGCTGAGCTATGCGGTGGGCACTGTCAGGTCAGGAGGGCAGCCTGCAGCCAGCCAGAAGGAGGCTGGTGGGAGGCTGGGTCCCAGAGCACACTGGTGTGGGTGCTGCTCCCACAGTCCCTGCACGCCTCTGCCTCCTGCCTCCTGCCTCCCTGTGAGCAGCTGGCCCTGAGCCCACGGCTGAGAAGAGTCATAGAGTGAGCACCCCTGAACATACCTAATATAGCCATCTCAGGGCAGGGCGCACTCTGAGTCACCCCTGAGGACAGCTCTGGCTGCCTCCTCCAGGCAGCAGGCCTGGATCAGGAGCAGGAGTGGCCGAAGCCAGACCTTCTGGACTTCCCAGACCTAGCAGCAGCTGTGGGAGCCCTCTACTCAGAGTCCAGGCTTTCCCTGCTGCTGGACTTCCCGTGGGTGTGAACGCGCACGTCATGGTCAGCTTGGAGGGCACGGCAGGAAGCCTGAGCCCAGGCTGTATATCAGGACCCTCACCAAGTGCAGAGGTGGGCACAGCCATCCACAGCCAAGGGTTGGAATATATTATCAAAATCTTACAGAAAAACTGATACACGGCTATTTATACACGGCAGGTGGGTGTGAGGAAAATGTCTGCTTTGGCATTAAACCTTCAGGTCCAACCACTGTCTCTCCCCTCCCACCCGGAGCCCATGTCCCCCAGGCACTGTGCACCCAGGCCGGTTGTCCTCTTCTCTCCCTAGAGGCCCCGGGGCCCCTCCTCCTCCTGCCACTGCCCACACAGAGTGCCACCAGCCCTACAACTCTGCTCCCAGGGCTCCTCAGAGGCCTGAATCTTGGCCCTGGAGGGCAGCAGGGCGGGGTGGCTATGTGGTCCCTGTGGGCCTTCCTTCCTGGGTCATAGGCCTCTGCAGACGCCCAGCTCCAAGGGCCCTGGGCTGTGCCATCTTCTCAGCCATGTGCTAAAAGAACTCTTGTCCGGAAACCTCCATTCCAGGGACAGAAGAACTTTTGGAGAGCCTTGGAGACAAGGAAAGGAAAGTGAGAAGAGAGACGGCATCCTTCCTGGAGCTGGGCTAGGCCTCGAGCTCTCCCCTGGGAGAACAGGGGTGTTCGCAGCAGGGCGGCCGGGGTGGGGCAGGGTCTGTGCAGCCCTGGGAGGCGAGGCCTGGGCAGTCACGGTGTTGGCTGGCGGCACCTGGCAGCTGGTCCTACTGAAGCAGTTTGGGCACTTCCACCTGGAGGGACAGAGCAGAGACAGGTCAGAGAAGGAGTCCAGAGAGGGCTTCCTGGGATTCAGGCCGTCCAGCTCCCTCCTGGAGGGACGCCACAGCAGCTACGTCAGGGAGCTTTCCCTCCTCTGTGAAAACGAGGTGTCATCATTACGTGACCGCTGGAATGACCTCAGAGCTTGCCCCTTATCAAGTGGCATCTAGGTTTGCGTGATGTGGGGATAAGGGGTCCTGTCAACCAGACAATGATCATAGACTCTATCCCCCAGGCAGGACCTCCAGGGAGGCAGCGCTTTGAGCAGTGGAGCAGGGATGGCTCTGTGTCCCTGAACTTGGCTAGTCACAGGTAGGATCTCCCGAAGGGTGACAGGTCGAGTAAGACTTGACTGGGCCTGAGAGGGGTTAAGTAGAGCCAAGATCATTTTTGTTTTGGGGAATGAAGAAGACTGGCAGGAAGGGCCTGGGGCAGAACTACCCCACAGAGGCTGTTTTGACATTGCAGGGAGGCACAGGCTTAGCCAGAGAATGGAGAAGTCGGAAGTGAAGACTGAGAAGCCAAAGGAAGCTCCTCAAAGGAGGGCTAGCGTCTCTTCTCCCAGGGAGGTTCAGGGCTGGAGGCAGGAGGGTGGATGGGAGGACCCGAAGCCCCCTGCAGCCTGGAGGTCTGCATTGCCTCAGCCTGATGTGAGCCCCACAGCCCGCTCTGCCTGTTGTCCTACCCCATCCTCCCAGATGGCAGCCTAGGCCTGCCTGCAGCCACGTACCTTCTTTTTTTATGTTTATTTTTTTGGTGAGAGATTTTTGCCATAGAGCGCGTGCGCTCACCAGAGAGACAGAGAGGCAGAAAGTGAGAAATCACCCCCCGGGGGGATGGCCACACTGCAATCCCCTCTCCTCCATGGTCTCCTGGGGAATTCAGGCACACACACACACACACACACACACGTGACCACTGTGAGATATAAGCCACCGCGTCCAGAACTTGAACCATGGTCAGCCAAGCGGGAGTCTAACAATGTAACCATGATGCCATCTGCTGGTCCCACCACTTACCTTCTTGAGCTGCTTAAGGTTGCTAGAGCGGATGGCGGCCAGTAGCTGGTCACGGGAGTTCTTCTCCTGGACGGGGAGGACTTTGTCTCCCATCTTCCTCTGGGTAGCTGGCGACAGGGAGTTCTTCAGGTTTTCCATGATGAGGGGTGGAGCCAAAGGAGGGGGTGGTGGGGGAGGGGCCGCAGGGGCACCCCCTTTCTTGGGCGAGTTCTTTGGAGAGGGTTTTGGAGATGGTTGGGGTGAAGGTTTTGGAGAGCCCTTGGCAAGGGCCCCAGCCTGGGGCACCTCCAGGAGGTCCTTCTTCGGCCCACTGGCTCCCTGGGCCTGCTTTTGCTCCTGCAGCCGCTTCTGTCGCTGCTTGTCCATGTTGCGGCTGAGCAGGTTGGTGACAGTCATTCGGGGCCCGGCCAGCTCGAAATGGTAGCCCAGCTTGAGCAGCGTGGTGTTGTCCCTGAGCAGCGTGGCCATCTCCATCTCCGCCTTGCCCCCGCAGATGTGCCGCTGGTTGTGGAAGCGGAGCTCGGTCAGCGTGCTGTTCTGCAGGAGGGCCCGGAAGATGGCCAGGATGCCTTTGCCCGTGATGTGGTTGGAGTCCAGGTTGAGGCTGGTGATGGTCTTGTTGGCCTTGAGCATGATGGCAATGGCGAAGGCCACGTGGTCGTCTGCTCGGGTGTTGGCGAGGGCGAACACCTTGACCACGGTGTTGAACTCCAGCGCCTCGGTGAAGCGGACCAGGATCTCGTTGGTGATGCAGTCCGAGTTGTTGACGTTCACCTCGGTCATCTCCGGGTCGTTGTTCTTCACTCTCTCCAGGGGCTCGTCGAAGATGCTAGGAGCTGCTTCCTCGTCCGCCTTGGCTGGCCCTTCCAAGGGCTTGGCGGGGCTGGCAGGGGCCTGTTTTCCTGGTGTTTGGGTCTTGCTCTCTTCCTGGGCCTCCTTTTTAATTAGGGAGTCCTCCTTCCTGGCTTTCTCAGCCTCCTTTTTTGCTCCTGTGTTTGCGGACCCTTTTTTTACTTTCTCTTCCTCTTTCTTGGCATCTGTATCTCCACTCGCCCTTTTCGGCTTCTCATCCTCCTTTCTGGCTTTCGTGTTCCTGCTCTCCCCTCTCGCCTTGTCGTCATCCTCTTTCTTGGCCACCTCCTTCACCTCCTTCTTCTTCTCCTTGTCCCCGCCCACACCTGTGTTCCTGTCGCTCCCTCTCTTCTCCTCGTCCCTCCTCGGGGCGGCTTTCCTGTCCTCTCCTTTGCCTCCCTTGCCTGCTTCTTTCTTGTCCACGGCAGCCCTGACCCGGCCCTTGTCGATTCCCCGGATCATGTGTTCCTCCTTGGGCTTCTCGCCCCCTTTGCCATCTGCTTCGTCTTTGTCCTTGGAGAAGCTCTTCTTCAAGCCCCCCCTCTTTGGCTCCTTCCCCAGGTCTGAGTCCCGTCTGGGGCCCAGGCTCTTCTTGCTGGCATCTCTGCCCCTTTCCTCTCCGTTCTTGGCATCTGTCTTCGTCTCTACTTGCTTGCTTTCCTAAGAGTTCAGAAAAGAAAACAAACATGAAGAGCTGGCCACAGAGGGAGAGGAATGAGTGTGGGGACAAGTGGGGGGTGTTTATGTAACTGCCCTTGGGTCCCTGAAGGACAGCTGGTGTTTGGGAGAGTGGGGTGAGTGTCTCTGCTCAGGACAGAGGAAGCCGTCTGGAATGGGCTGTCATCCCACTCATGGCTCACGGTCGGGAGGCACCAAAATAAACACCTGTGGAGGTCGGGGTGGTTCCTTCCCTGGAGCACGCTCAGACCCAGAGCAGCGCCCTGCTGAGCCCATTAGGAACCCGCCCCCCCGCAAAGGGAAAATCAATACTGACCCCATCATATTTACACCTCTGCCCTTTTGTTCATTGTGGATATTTTGCACTAGTTTTGGTTTTAAAAAACACACATTTAGGGCCAGCCCAAGGCACGGTGAGTCAGAGAGCTGGGTCCCACATGGTTGACCCCAAGGTTTGAGTCCTGGCAGTTTGAGGAAAAAACACTGGGCATGTGTGCATGCATACTCAGAATCCTGAAAGGAGGGGGAAGTGGAGGAGAGGGCATTGCGGAGTGACCAATCCCCATGGGGAGTGCTTTGTCACTCTCCCTCTTCCTCCCTCTCCTTCTGTCTGTCTCTCTCTGGCAAGCAAACGTGCCCTCTGGTAAAATTTTTTTCTTATTTTAAAAATAAAAATATACATTAGACGATCAGTTATCTTGTTCACTGAGTCCTTGGCGCCACCTTGCATTCTGTGCTCAGGGCGAGCACCGCATCCCTCCCCCTGGCCCTGGCCCAAGGAGCAGGTCAGTGGTTCTCAGATACTGGATTTTACAAGCCAGTACATTTACAAAGAAAAAAAAAAGTTGGAGGCATCAACTTAGTGTTGGTAACATTTTATTTTTACCAATTAAGGATATTTACACATTCTGTCTACCATCATTATCTCGTTGAAATAAGAAGGAACTTGGGCCACTCCTGTGGCCTACTGGTTAAAGGAGTTAGGTCTCAGATGGCTAGTAAGATGGTTTGAACCTCAGCCCCAGTGGCGTGAAAAACATGCCAAGTGCTTGTGCATCCAAAATTTCAACAAGATGGAGAAACGGAGAAGGATTGTGGCGTGACCATGCCTCACTGGGAAGGGGTGCTTTCTCCTTCTCCCTCTCTTTCTCTGCCCTTTAGAATTTTTTTTTTTAACTTATGTTTTGGGGACCAACAGATGCTGTAATGGTTATGTCACTGGACTCCACATGGCCACCTAGGGTTTGAATCCCAGACCTGGTGACTCGAAACTCACGCTGGGTGCATGCATGTGTGTGCCCAAAATCCCGAGAGGAGAATGGAGGAGAAGGAATTGTGACCTGGCCATCTCCCCTGGGGGTGACTTTTCACTTTTTGTCTCTTTGTCTCTCTGGCAAGCATACATGTGCCCTATAGCAAAAATCTCTCTTGGAAAAAAAAAAACCTCATTTTTTTAAAAGAATTTTTAAAAATTATTTTATTTAACTTTATTTATTTACTCATTTATTTTATTTCATTTTGACCAGAGAGGGACAGAGCAAGAGAGAGAGAAAGAGAGAAAGCAATCCACCAGGTCTGGGACTCGAACCATGGTCGACCATGTGGGAGTCCAGTGCCCCTAACCACCACGCCACCTGCTGGCCCCATTAAAGAATTTTTTATATCATTTGTATTTATTGTTATTATTTTTAAAATTTGATTAGGGAGAGAGAGAGGGAAAATGAGGAAGTAAGCCACCAGGTCCAGGGACTCAAACTACAGTCAGCCACATGGGACTCCTGCACATCAGCCATCACACCACCACCCTCTGGATTATGGACACAAACAAAAAATTGAAATAAGAAGGAGCTAATTATAGAGCCAGCTGGTGGTGTGGTGGTTAAGGTGGCCGGATCCCACAGATCCGACTGCATCATTCAAGCCTGGGACCCAGCAGCTAGAAAAACACGCTGGGTGTATGCATGTGTGCCTAAAATCCTGAGACCAGAATGGAGCAGAAGGGGTTGTGGCATAGCCGTTCCCCCTGGAGAGTGATTTCTTTCTCTTTCTTTCTCGCCAGTGAGTGCATGTGCTCCAGAACAAAAAAACAGGACAAAAAAGGTCATTATAAGGAAGTAAGGTAGACATCACAGGATGAAGGACCGAATGCCTTTACATGAAATAGGTGTGTCTTTTTTTATTTCACAGTATTCTCCTTATTCCTTTTTTCCTTTTTAAAAGAATTATTTATTTTTAAAATAATAATATTATTTATTTAATTCCATTTGTTATTATTATTTCCCAATTTGACCAGACAGAGAGAGAAAGGGAAAGTGAGAAAGCAAGTCAGCAGGTCTGGGACTTGAACTGCAGACAGCTATGTGGGAATCTAGCACCCTTATCCTCCACGCCAGCTGCCGACCCCTATTTATTTAATTTTATTTATTATTATCATTAGTTTTAAATTTGCTACAGGGCACATATGTTCACCAGAGAGAGAGAAAGTGAGACAACAAGCCACCAGGTCTAGGACTCAAACTGCGGTTGGCCATGTGGGAGTCCAGCACCCAAACCATCAAGCCACCTCCCAGCCCCTCCCCACCCCCTTATTTTTAGTAAATCTTTGCTAAGAACCAGTCCCTCTCTGTGAGGAGATCTGGTCTGCTTGGAGAGGACTCTACCGGATTTGGGACCTGGGATTCTGTCACTCTGTGTCAACCACACAGACACGGAGACATGTTCAGGGAGACCATGGAATCAGCCAGCTGAGCAGGGACGGAGGCCTGAGATCTACACTGGAACAGGCCACACTGCACCTCCGCTGGGCCCCATTTCTTCCTCTACAGAGTTGCATTGTGTTTGAGCCCTGTTGTTTTTGTTTTAATTTTTCTAAGGATTTTTTTAAAAAGTTTATTTATTCCATGAGAGAGAGAGAGAGAGACAGAGATATAGCACCCCTAAAAGGGTCTCAACACCACAGTCCACCCCCAGCCTCAGACAGCACAGATCAGGGGCACACACTGCCTAGCCTACGCAGGGAGATCTGACACAAACTGGCAACCTTCCGTGGGTCTGCATTGTCACGGCTGTGCTTCATCCAGCCCCCAAGCCCTATGTGAGTCCTTGCTTCCCATCCTTAGCACAGGAGCAGAGAGGCTGCAAGATTGCCCGAGATTAGATATTAGATTTAATTAACCGTGCAATTGGGACGGGAGCCCCAGAGTAACTGGGACTTCAAGACTCTGTGATGTCCTTTCCTAAAGGCACTTCTTTCTTTTTTTTTTTTTTGAGAAGTTTTTTGCTATACGGTGTATGCACTCGCCAGAAAGACAGAGAGAGACAAAGAGACAGAGAGACAGAAAGCGAGAAATCACCCCCCAGGTGGGATGGCCACGCTGCAATCCCTTCTCCATTCTCCTCTTGGGATCTTGGGCACGCATGCACACGTGCCTGGTGTGAGTTTAAGCCACCAGGTGTGGTACTCGAACCACAGTCAACTACATGGGAGTTCAGCCCCATAGCCATTATGCTAACTGCTGGTCCCCCTAAAGGCACTTTTAGAGGAAGAGACTATGGCCTGAACTTTGGAAAGGTTTTCTGTGTTTCAGAGTGCCCAGGTGGGGGGCGTGGGGGGGAGAGGAAGGGAGAGAGAAGGAGCAGCACCCTCTGGCTCCTGGAACGCTCCTCACCCCCACCCTCCCCGGGAGTACTAGCCTGCGAGTTCTGGCCTGTGGGAACAGGCTGTAGCTGCCCCAGGAACGCATGCCCATTGGGGACCAGGCTCTGCGTTTATTTAGCAGTGAAAGTCCTTGGCTCCTCGCTAGAATCACAGCGGGCAGCCCGGAGGCATAGGGCCTGGTGAGGCAGGATCTTGGAATGTGCCCCTTCCACCCCCTGTCCAGAGGCCCCGGGCCATTGCACTGTGGGCTTACCGGGGCCGAGGTGAGTGACCGAGGGCCAGAAAGCACCCCTCGCACTCTCCGTGGCTCCCAGGGAATTGGGTCGTCCCTTCAGATCACCCTGGGAGCAGAAATGGTAGTGGTTTTACCGTACCTTAACTTAAATGCAAGAGAAAGGGGGACCATATGCAAATAGAATGTAAATGAGGAGACCTGGAGGGCGGGCCCTTCCAGCGATCCGCTCACAGTTTGAGCAGGGAAACCCCACTCCGACCCTTGATCCCATCAAGTTTGAAAGGTTTCAACGTAGTCTGCTGGCTTTGGGAGTTTGGGGGAGCGGGCCGTTTGGAATACCCTTTCCAAGTCCCAGGTCTAGAGACTAGGCCCGAGGGCAAAGACTCCTGCCTCGCCTCTCCCTTCCCTTCCCTTCCCCAGACCTGCACACTTCGGGATTGCTCAGAGCCCACCGCGCTGCCCGGCTGCCCTCTGCAGAGTTCCCACGCCACGGGAAACTGGGGTGGGCTGAGATAGTAACTAGCGAGGTCAGGGAAAACGGGCCGTAGACTCGACTGTCTCACTAGCAGCCACCAGGGCAATGTCACTGTCACTGGCCTTCCTCATCAGGGGCCCAGGCGTCCCCTCCACTGCCCCACATCCCCTGGAGCCTGGGGGCCTCAGCTGCTGCAGAACCCATCGCCAGCCCCTTTCAGACGCAGGGCTCCTTTCAGAGCCTCTCCTTCTTTCCCAGCCAGGAAGGGCACCCCATAGTCCTCTCCCCTTTGTCCTCAGTTGGGACTCCTCCTGCTCCCCCCTGGTACTTCCCCCACACCAGGGTCCTAGTTGGCAGGACCTGCCAAGTGTCCGCTGTGGAGGAGGTGTGCCAACCCTTGAAAAAGGACCTAATGAAAAACAGGCTGGGGGTGGGGAAAGGGCTGATTCATCATCGGTTTCCTCCAAATAGCCAGGAATGAGAGGCTGGGGCTTGCTGCAGCTCGCACAGCCCTGAGTGCAGACCTTGCCTTAAAAGGAGAAGGAGCCGGAGTCCTCCCAGGCTGGGCTTCGCTGAGCCCTGCTCCTGGGCACAGAGCAGGGCCGCTTCCCCCA